ATGTGGGAGGTGCTGCAGGCACTAACCAGGGGGAAGTTGGGAGGTGCTGGAGGCACTCACCTGGGGGAAGGTGGGAGGTGCTGGAGGCATTCACCTGGGGGAAGGTGGGAGGTGCTGGAGGCACTCACCTGGGGGAAGGTGGGAGGTGCTGGAGGCACTCACCTGGGGTGAGATTTAAATAAAATTAGAATGATCAACTTACGGGTTAACTAGTTACACATTTTTGCTTTGTTATCTCTCCCTCTCTTTTGCTGCAGTGTTGCCTTTTTCTTCAAAATATGACTGCCATATGCAGTCATTAATATTTCCGTCCCCAACACTGTAAACCATGCAGCTCCACACTGTTTGCCGCCTGTTTCCATGGTGAATCCTTTTTCAGTGATCTGCTGATAATGACCTTTTGTCGTTCCGCAAGACTGCACTTTAGTTAGAATTTACAAAGTCAGGCTTGATTGAACTCAATCCCTAAGCTGTAATCAGTGTTTCTGGAACCATCATTTATGTTTACGTCATTTCAGGCTCATTCAAGACAGAGTTAAGGTTTAACCCATAACACGCTTTCTGCAATACTCCCCTGGAAATGCACTTTTCTAGTTAGATTTTCTAATTGCTTATTTAACTCATTATATAATAATATTACTTATTATATTATTTATTGCATTATTGTATTATATTAAACAACAAACAGGAGGTCAGTGCCAATGGCCAAGCTGGCCTTGGGTGACAAATGGGTCTCGACGAGCAGTAATGATTCTTTCCCACAAGAAGGCCAGGTTATGCCTATTTAATTGCTTTTGCTTTAAAAAAGGAGTGGTACTCCTGGAATATTTTTATCAAATTTAATTAAAGTGGATGATTATATCAACAGTGCATTTCGCGAGCATGCAACACTAGGTGGCGCTGTGAGACCACTTGCCACTCTTGATTTTCCTTTTACTAAACAAGAAAGAAATTTATAATGAATTAAAAAGGAATATGGTGAGATGTATAAAATAATTTTGGTGAAATTAAAAAAGAAAGACAACGCATTCATTAATGCCATTCATGACGGGTAAAGTTTATCATATACCAGCTTCATAAAAGAGTATTAGTTAAGTCATCATATGAAGTCATGGTATAAAGAAATAGGATTGGGTACTGAACATTCTGGGGCTGAATCTTACTCTAGCTAATAGATAAATGTAAACAGGCATTTCCCTGGATAAAAATGCTAGTTAAGTCTAATATGCTGAATGCAAAACACGCATTGATAAAAGTACCTTATCTTTTATGCATTGAAAAATCTTTGAAAGTGAAGCTGGTTTAAATATGATGGGATAAACATTAGAGACATACTCTGGGTAAACTGTAGCTTGGCTCTTTGAAAACTAAAGGCTGGTATGTGCTCAGGCAGGCGGCAAAGCAACAGGTGATGAATGCTGTCATCTCCATGGAAAGGCACTCACCTCGGCCGTACGTCTGCCTGCCGGGTTACTGATCTTGCTCAGCCTCTAATGGGCTCTAAGGCGCCCCCCAGTGGACAGAACCGCCTGTCCGGCCATCAGCCGTGAGCGCTCTGGTAGGGCCACTGATTCAAGGGTGGCAATTTAAGGGTGCTGAAGAACTTCAAACTGCAGACTGAAATGTAGTCTTATAAAGCAGCACCTGGATTTCGGGGAACCGGGGGAGAGGGGAGGAGTTTGTCTGAGAGTTTAGTTCTGAAGGATGGACAAGATTGAGGAGGAAGTAAAACAGGAGGAGAGAGAGAGCGAGAGAGAGAGATGGGAAGGGAAGGAGGATGTGCAGAAGGGTAGAGGGGGAGGGGGGAGTTAGGGAGGGAGGGAGAGAGAGCAGGAGGGAGGGGAGGGCACACGGGTGGCCGCACTGTGCTGCAGGAGGTGTGCAGCACTCCTGAGCCAGGGGAGGATTCATGCCTCCGTTTGATGTGATTTCTGGTGGATTCATCCTTTTTGACTGAGGACAGAATGGGCTGTATAGTGTCATGTCACACTAGGAGGGCTCTGAGGTAATGGGGAGTGACTGAGGGCAAGATGGCTTACATACAGGTAAGTCTGTGCTGGCGTCTCACGACATCACGTCTCAGGGGAATCCTGCGCTTTCTCTACATTCTCTGCGTTTTTTCTCAGAACTTGAGAGTCGATTTTATGTAAAAATTCACAGACGGCTTTATTGCGTTTAAAGGTGATGGTGAGACTGATGGTCACTTTCGTAAAAGTTTGTGCTATTCCTCCGTTTGTTAACAGCATCCAACAGGTTGCAGGACCTGACTAATTTCTGCGCCTGCTGGATATTGAAGACTGTCACAAGGCTTTCAACTGTGTTTATAATGCCCCTGTGTGTGTGTGTGTGTGTGTATGTGTGTCAGATGAGTTACTCCGCGACCCCTTGCGTGTACCTGTGTGGCGTGACGGCCCAGCCCGTGTTCGTGTGCACCCTCCGTCTGCTGTTTTGCACACCGTGTCTGTGGCTCCGACGGGGGTCAGGGGAGCCAGATGGGATCTGTAACAGGCTCCCCCCTCCCACTTCTGGCCCCGGCTCCAGCAGCCCATCGCGGTCGGCGGGGGGACAGCAGCAGAGAGGCAGCGCTCAGGCCGCAGTCGCCATGGTTACAGCTATAGCTAATTGCAAGGACTGGGAGGAGCCAGTCTGGGTGGAGGAGACGTATTAGCCGCGGGTAAACAACAGGGATGCAATCAGCTCTGCCTGCGATGCTCAAGGCTGCCCGGTCACCAGGTTAACATGGCTTGCAGGTTTTCATTAGTGCCCTTTGTTTTCCGTGTGGTGCTTTGCCTCATCTTACACTAAACAGGCATATGAAATGCGTATATGTGTCACCGTGCAAGATATCCGAACAGGATCATCTCAGGTAGATGGCAGGGCTGGATTGGGATTTAACATCGGCCCGGAGTTTGTGATTCCCCGTGATAAATTTTACTGGCCCCCAAACCCATCAGCCCTGGTAGATAAAATGAGTTTGCCAGATGCCAGATGGCCAGTCCAGCCCTGGTAGATGGGTAAGGCACCATGGTTGACCCCATGCCATAGGCGCCTTCCTGAGACCCCAAGCTGCCTGCTGCCTTGGTGCTGAAGAGCCCCCTCAGATTGCTTTGGATCATACTTTGTCTCTGATGCGCGTTACTGCGCCACTCAGAGTTTCCTGTGAACAGGTGAGGAGCGGGAAGATAGCAAAATCACGTCGACTACATCCTGCGATTCTAAACTGTTTTCCTTTCTCTCTCCCTCTCTGTCCTTCTCCCGCTTCCCCTCCGGTATCTTCCCATCTGTGGCTACGAAAAAGGACAGCTGGAACCTGTCAATGAGGTAAAAAGGCCACACATCTGAATCTGCCAGCCTTGTCCAGAAGGACTCTAATGTTCAGTTTGGCAAATATAGGAATACAATTCATAATATTCGTAACAGACCTCTCCTTATATCTCACTGAAATCCTTTACTAGCGGGGTGACTAAATAAAAGACAGTGAGTAGGTTCTGGTAGTCAGGCCCATCACACATAACTGGTTGAATAAAGACATTTGAACAGAAGTTCTATGAATTTTTTTGGATTCCTGTTGTTGCCCAGTCTCACCCAGTGTTAAATCTCAAGGACTGTTATTTTTATTACTTAGAGGTTGAGGTATTCATTGTTTTTAGGTTCCGGGGCGATGCCATCTTGAAGAAATATCACTGTATATGTCAGGTTGTATATTTGTATGTAACATCATCAGCAGGCACCAGCTTAGACAAGACACAACTCACTCATTCTAAGCATTAAATCTCTGGTTTGTTTTTTTCATGCTTGTACACCAGGCAAAATCTTTTTGCACACATTGAGATTTTCTATATTTGTATTTTACTCACTTAACATTTATTTAAAAATACACGCATTATTTTTTGCTAACAAATAATTTTACAGTATGTTGTACCATTTGAGTACTTTATTAGCAAGAAAATATCATATCTTTGATTCATTAAAGTAACCTCCTCAAGCAGTTATAACAACAGAGAAAATCCGAGGCATTCTTTCTACAAGGGACATTAAATACTGCTCTGTTTCGTGGGAGGAAATAGTTAACTAGTGCTTTTAAAGTTAAAAGAAAGAATTTGCCATCACCATACAACCAGTTAATACGATGTCAGACATGCTCTGTTATGTACTCTTTCATTATTATTAAGAAAACTTGTTTTGAGTATATTTTCATTTATAGTTGTTCACTCAGCTTTCCAATACTAAATAACAAGAAAAAATCTGCAGCTTATGAAATAAATGGAAAGTAGTAAAAAAAATGTGGTGTGAAAAAATGTTTGACTGGTATGTATGTGAAATGTAATGATTTATCAGTTTGATCATAGGGAAGGCATTGATTGTAGATTTAAAGGTGCGTAATATGAGTGAATGTTTGAGCTGAGAGACCTGACTGAGCTCGCAGTGTCGGATTGTGTGTGTTCAGAGCATGTTGTCATCAGGAAGTAGGTGATTTGCTCTACTGTCTGCCTGTTACCAGTGATGCCTGTCATCTATGTTGGAGGAAATTAAAAATAAATCATTTCAACTAGAAAGTCCTCTTCAGAAATCCTTTACAAAAAGCTGCATGTTGCCTGAGGAACCTTTAGCACCATCAGAATACTGCTCGATAGGATTTCAATAAGAGCAGAGTCATGTTCTCTAAAAATCTTTCAACCTGTCATCCGAAAGTGACATTTGAATAGCAAAGCTTCATCTTAATATTTAATGAAAATGGAACCAAACTGGGCTTTTTAATGACTGAACCAAAATGAGCAGCTTGACTGTTCAAAGGACGGAACCTGACTTGTCTAAGCAGCTTGACACCGGGACCGAGAAGCTGCTGTATCGATGAAGATGCGATTCTTCACCTTTGACGTGAGCTCTGACCAAGGGCATAACTTTGGGTTGAGCATCGGGGGGCTTGAGGCCTCCATCCATTTAAGGGGGTCCAGGGGGGTGCATTAGCTGGTTTTGATTATTTGATAATTAATGCCCATGGCTCTGACAGTCATGTAGACTTCTGGGCCCTCTTGTTTCCCGATGCCTCAATAGCTGCAAATCCATTCAAGACTGACATCTTAGTGCCCTTGATTATTAGGTGAGGACTGAGTAGACTGAGTGGGCCCTGCATGCATGTTGCTTTTTTTGTTATTTCATTATCACATCAGTGGGGATGTGTACAGTGAGCGTGTGAGATCAGTGTAGTAGCCCCTCCTCTAACACACCCTGTCGCTCTCCCTCACTCAGGGTCTCCTGTCCAAATTGTCCAACTTCCTGTTGTGCCGCTGGACATACCAGTCCTGTTGGCAGTCTTGCTGGGAATGCAGCTGCTGCCCAGTAGGCGATGATGAAGTGGAGATCTTGGGACCTTTTCCTGCCCAAACCCCATCTTGGCTGTGAGTGACCCCTCCCCCACCCCAGGACCTTCACACACCTTTTTCCCTCATAGTGCCTGTGACCGAGGCTTTCTCAAGTCAGGGCATTAGCCAATTAGCCAGTGCTAACATTGCTATTGATGCCAAATCTCAGGCAGAGGTACCCCCTAGATGGAATTCCAGACCATCATTGGGCACACATATGCATACAGTCCCTCGCTGTGTGTCTTTGGACAGCTGGAGGGAAGCAGAGCATCCTAAATGTAGCCCCTAATACAGGGTGTCCTGTGGCTTGATGCTGACACATCAGCTGTTATTGATGTGAGCCATTTGCGTCGAGGCCCCTGCTCATTTGTAGATGCCACCCACCTGCAAATCCAGCTGTGCTGGTGCTTTGTGGAGAGGTGTGGAAAACATCTGGGCTGATGCCCAGCCACTGGTCTGCACAGGGGAGCAGGGGGCTCGGAGGTGGGGGCCGATGAGTCATGCAGCCTGTGGTGGAAAGGTATTAGGCAGCAAAATGAGTCACTTTGTATGTGTTGGAGTCAGTCTTATGTACAGATGAGTGGAACGCAGTAACATTCCAAGTGGTCTCCTTCCCTGTCACAAACATTTAGGAAATGAGCGTGTAGCCATCAATACAACATGATGGGACCTTTCTTAAAGCTATTTTCATACTATGGTCAAAAGGGTAGCATTGGTATGAAATTGTGTGATATTTTAGGCTGTCTTTGTGTAGGAGACACACTTTATAAGTAAAATTTTGCAAAAAAGTAACACTTTACATGATGCATGTGAACCCAGCACTGACAAGGGCTGTCAGGCAATTAATGTTTTTAATCGCAATTAATCACATAAACAGAGCGATTAATCACACATTCAACCATGTTAAAATTTGTTGAAAATTAGCGGCAAAGTTGTGCTAGACTCACAGTCTCTCACAGAAACAAACTCAGAACAGGCTTAAGTACCAAAAGAATAACAGTATGGAACAAATTAACTCAATGAGGCAATAAACTAAATTAACAAATAACACGTAGAACAATCAACCAATAATGCAATGAGCGATAAACTAAACAACCTAGCTGACCACAAAGATCCCAAAAAGTAAACACTGAAGGATAAACAAGATTATTGACCGCTGGCCACTGCTGAATCCCTAGCATTAACTTTGTGGTGTACAGATTATTCATTTCCAAAAAAATATTACTCAAAGCTAGTACAAGTTGAGTTTCAAGGCTTTCAAAAAGGCTTGATGAACAGATGGCAATAAGAAAAGAAAAGGTATTGTATATAAGCAGGGATTTATTTCTTTTATCACACACAAATATACAATATTTAATCCGTGCTTTACTGTGTTAACTCGATTAAAGAAATGGTTTTAAATTTAAAGCTAAGTGATAACAAGTTAACTACATGTGTAAGTTTTCTATGTAGTTTTTTTTCTTTTTTATTCAATATAAATCTTAGAGTCCCTGAATGCTCCATAATTCACTTCCTCCATGCTAGGACTCTCTAGCATCTTGTGACCGCTGTAACTGAGAGCACTGTGTCACGTTGAGGGGGCGGCGGTCTGCTTAACACCAAGGAGTACCAAATGTTCTCCTGCCTTTGAAGAGCATGGCGATTCAAACTGCCATGTTCTTAGACAGCATCAGTGCCTTCCCTTTTCCTCTCTCATTGAGCTCCAGCCAGGTTCAGTACTGTTCCTAGTACATCCTCGTCCTTCCTGTAGGGGGATATCGACGGCAGGCCGCAGGCCTGGAGATTTAGTAGTCCTGTTACTGAGTTTTCTCCAGTGTGTGGATCCTGTCGCCTTCCTGAGAGGATCCCACTCTTGTCTGGGAGACACCAGACGTGTTTTCATGTATTAGCATGCCAGATGTTTTCTCCGAGCAAGACCCTGGCACTGAATCCTGTTTGTCATCCATGACTGACTAATGCATCAGCCCCAGCATCTTACAACCTGTGCAGCAGAAGCTCATCTGCAAAGCCGTATGTTATGGTTTCTCTACTGTAAACACAGACAACAATGATGTTTCTGGCTGGTACCAGAAAGTATGGCTACTTCTATATTAATGGTGATACTTCATTAGGCCTTTGTAGAAGCAGGAGAACAGGTAAATGGGAATTATTTGTTTTTCACGTATCCCATTAATCTGTCTTATGAGGCACACCCACATATTATTGCTGTCAGATGAAAAACACGTACTGTATGTCCACTTATTGATGAGTGTGACTTTTTACTGTAGATGGAATACGCCCATTCTCCTCTGTCTACTGATAGCATTTGCCGTCTAATTGACCAATGAAAAGATGTTTTATGAAATCTATTTATTTAACTGATATTTATGTTTGTACTAGTTAACATATTCAGGATGGCTATTTGTATGGATTACTATATATCTAATTTTAACAACTCAACATTAATAGCTAGATAGCTAGTTAACTAACATCATTGCTATAGTAAGATTAGTTTGCATCTTGTTGACATTGACATGTTTTCCTTGCTGACAAAATCCTCGTAAGTCCATTTAAAATATTACACCATTCATTAAGTAAATGAATGTGTGTAAAATAGGTTTCAGTTGGTGGTGATAAAGTGTCTCATTACGTTGTCCTAGATTTATTTTGTAAAGTAGTTTCTGAAAAAATGTGTTTTTTCACACTCGTGAAATAATGGATTTTTGGAGATAATGTTGACAGCGACAATATAGAGTAGAAAGTGAAGCTTGGGCTGAGAGAACAGGACCAGTCAGTTTCTTTGGTGCTCCAGAGTAGGTTTAGGGTTAAGGGTCGTGCTTCAAAGTCGAACAATGATATAATTACTCTGCTGGAGACATTCCAGAAACAGGTCCAAAGTAGTGGTGTAACAGACCATAGTGGATCTATGATCCATATGGATTCCTGTCCTATGGTTTGGCATGCGTGTGAACCCCGGATTGGCTTTGTTGACATCACAAGAAAAATAAGATCCTGACATAACAAGACATAAAAAGATCATGATAGATGTCCTCTGTGGACTTCCGTATGATGCAGAGATGCAGTGAAAAGATACAGACAAGGCAGTTGTGTGTTCAGGTGAACGGGGCATGTTAAAAGTTCCTTGCTTTAAGTGTTCTTGAAGTTCTTTAAGTAATAAATGGAAGGCAAAACTGTATTTGTTAAACAGAGGAGGTAGGATTTCAACACACAACGGAAGAGTTAACGGCCGCATTCTCTACTCACTGAGCCATGCAGTAGTTAGGTAAGCAGGAGCAACACACTAAGCACTTTGACAACAGGGAGGACAGGATGGCCAGCGACACCTACTGGCCAAACGGGGAGAAGACACGAAAGACTCGGACAGACAGGTGCTGACTCTGACACCATTATGATCTGACATAATTTGTTTATTGTGGAATGAAGAGACACTACTAAACCTTACAAAGACCATACAGTTGGACCTTGAAGATCAATAGCTGTGCACAAGTAACTAAGAAGGCTTCCTTTTAAAATATAAAATTTATCTAAGCTCTGAAATTGAAGATGAAATTTTTGAATTGCCGATATAACCTTGGAAAAAGGAAAAACATTACATTCTCTGATATTACAGTTTTGAAGGTTTTACAGCTTGAGTAGATCAAAATATTTTATTCACTTAGGTCAGTTAGGTGTGTTTAATGTTGGGGTGTCCATATTTTCTTACAACAGAATCAGCTGTTTTCTTCCTGCAAGACTTCAAAAACACTATGAAAATGTCAATTGAATTCATTCATTAAAACCCCACATGCCAACTTAAGGAGATTAGATCCATCCATCCATTCATTTTCTGAAACCGTTTGTCCTATTCAGCGTCGCGGGGGGTCCGAAGCCTACAGTATCTCGGAGGCTATGGGCGCAAGACAAGGAACAACCCAAGATGGGGCGCCAACCCATCACAGTGAGATTAGATCAACAATGCTAATTCTTTTCCCCCTCAGAGTCAACGAGTACAACACTGAGAAAGAGATGAGCCAGGGTGCCCCGGGCTTTGACCACCCTGCCACCCCCCCGGACAGCTCTCAGAACAGGCATTCCTCCAGCTCGGACACCTCCCACTCCAGCTACAGCTTGGCACACCGGCTATCCAGTGAGTCTCCTTTCTGCTGTGGCATTAAAGAAATCGACGTGCTGTTGGCTGCAGTCCCAGGAGGCATCTGCTGTTGTACCTTTGAAGTGGGAGTTAAATATTTCCAGGAGAATATATATCAAAGAAAATCATAACTCTGCATCCTATACACACCATGTTGTATTAAAAATGCTGAAAAAATGTGTGGGTTGCACTTACATCATATGCTTCAGGCTGAAGTCTTCTGCTGTAAATGCTGTACCCTTAAAAAAATATATCATCCAGACAAGGTCATATGAATTGTCCTTTTATCATTGTAATTGTCCAATCATCCATCTATCCATTCATTTATATATCCATCTTCTGACCATTTATCCTGCTCAGCATCAGGGAGCCAATCACTAGGCACAGGGCAATAGGCTCTAGCAGTAGCGTTAGTAGTATGTAAGTATTAGTATTTTTATAATGATATATTTTAAGCAGGTCTGGAGACTCGGAGACCCAGTTCCTCACTTGTTGATATCAAGCCTATTGAATTCTGGGCAATGGGTCCCAGGAAGGAGCCGGTGCAGCCGACAGTCCTACGCAAGCCCTACGAAAGGTCGGAGGACTACTTTCACAAGCTGGAGCCCCGGCTGTACTCGGCAGACTCTAGCGGCGACGACGTCGACTCCCTGACAGATGAGGAGGTGGCCTCGCGTTTCCAGTTGGGCATGCTGCACTTCAGCGTGCAGTTCGACCTGGTGCGCGGCCACCTGAGCGTGCGCGTCATCGAGGCACGTGACCTGCCCCTGCCCGTCTCCTGCGATGCCTCCCGCCAGGACATGGCCCACTCCAACCCCTACGTCAAAGTCAGCCTGCTGCCCGACAACAAAAACTCCCGCCAGACCGGCGTCAAGCGGAAGACCCAGAATCCCGTGTTCGAGGAGCGCTTCACATTCAACCTGCCCTTTCTGGAGGCCCAGCGTCGCACGCTGCTGCTCTCCATCATCGACTTTGACAAGTTCTCCCGCCACTGTGTCATCGGTAAGGTGACGCTGCCTCTGGGAGACGTGGACCTGGTCAAAGGTGGCCACTGGTGGAGGGCTCTGGTGCCCAGCTCGCAGGTATGCTTCATCTGATCTCCTGTATCCTAAGTATGGCAGCATTCACACATAATTAACTAGCAGGATATTAGACCAACTTGCATGATGCTTAGGAGAATGAGCCAGTTTATATTGCTGGAAACATCACGCTCCCAGGCAGAATTCCAGGTCAATGTTGATCCCAGGGAACCAAAAGCAAGGTCCTCCATAAGCCGTGACCACCACTGCAGCTGCTGTTTGTAACATTCCTCTAACATCATCTCAGCATGAGGTGGAGCTGGGAGAGCTGCTGCTATCGCTCAACTATCTGCCCAGCGCTGGGAGGCTGAACGTCGATGTCATCCGTGCCAAACAGCTGCTGCAGACGGACATGTGCCAAGGCTCAGGTACTCTGACACAGAAAAGCACCCTGTTCCTGTCAGCCACATATTCCCATACTCCTGAAGTAATTATTATTATAATAGTAATAGTAGTAATAATACAATAGCAGATCTTTGATGCTTTATTTTAGGTGTCCTACAGGATACTGCAGCATGAGTAATGTGCTGCTACCCAACATGAAATATGGTGTCCCTGGCATTCTCCAGATCCTTTCGTCAAGGTTCAGCTAGTGACAGGGTTGAAACTGGTGAAGACCAAGAAGACGTCCTGCATGAAGGGCACCATCGACCCTTTCTACAATGAATCTTTCAGCTTCCGAGTGCCGCAAGAGGAGCTGAGTGAAGTTAGCCTGGTGTTTTCAGGTACTGTACACTGCTGTACCTGTTCTTTGTGCTCTTCCTATAGATGCCCTGTTCTTTGGACGAAGCTTAACATGCATTGGGATGGTAGTAGGGTAAGCAGATAATCCATGTCAGGGAGGACAGTTTGAGCTAGGACTGGGTTTGTAAGCTTCTATTGCAATTAAAAGGATCTGGATTTCACTTAAGCACTGAGATCATGCTGTGTGTTAAGTAGTCAGTCTCCTATAATCATGCATGTGTCAATAATGTTAATATGAAATGCCTGGATGAGTCTTTCAATCAAGGAAACAAACCAGTTAAAGCACAAGAAGAACTGAACTATTTAGTTTGTAAAACCTGAAGTAGCTCAAAGTGTCCTTCCTGACATGGATTATCTGTTCACCCTACACAGTAGGTTATCTTCTGTCTGCTTTTCCTGGTGAGGGCTCTGGTAGGAACCTGCCTAGTGGGTCAAACTAGACCTTTTTCCTATGGGACGGTGGGTCATCTTCCAGGTATGTCTTTCATGATCAACGTCTTTGATCATTTGTTGACTTAATGGATGCTTGGGGAAGACAGTGATGAGTTGGACAGGTCTCATAATAAGTGTAGTTTTACCAGTGTGAGCTTTTAAGAATGGGATGAAAAATAAGTGAAGAAATGCTTACATTCACTCTGTTGAATCTTCACCAGCTCCTACAGATGGTTCTAATTTCTAAAATCTGAGGACCTGTAGAAATCAGCCCAGCACATAATACAAAACTACTTACTGTTTTTTTTCCATCTTTTTTCCTCATCAGTGTAGGATATTAAATTTAAAAAAGAGCACAAATTGCCATAGATATAGATATCAAATGTCTTTCAAAAGCTTAATCGCGTTGATTGATAATGATCTTTTTTTAATCAAATATTGCATGTAGCTCACCATGTGTAATGGCAAGTCAGCTGTATTATGACCGAGCTGAAATCATTTTACGTACATCAAATATGACATCACAATAGTTACATTTCTGGTCACCTCGATTCCTGCAGGGTCTTGCCCATCTAATATCTGTGGAGGTGACCATGTAATCCTGACTCTTTTCCCTGTAATCACTGCCCTCCTCAGCGTCGCATTCTACTCAGTACAGATCACTGACTTCACATGCCTGTTTGTAGCCAAGTATTTGTCTTTCCTTGATGCTGTGGATTGTTAGGTTGTCTTTCCATGTAGGCACTGGTTCTTTGGAGGCATCTGGAAATTAACAGGGATATGTGAAGGTTTACTTTAAGAAGATGGCAAGGCAGTGGCTAGGAAACCCCACAGAAGTAAGGACAGCGTACCCCTCTGCCCAGCTACAGTATATGAAAAATCAGCATGATTATGAGCTATGCTGAGCTTGGAGGCTAACCAATAGTGATGACTAAATGAAGCTTCACGAACCATGTGCTGAATTTTTTGACTGCACAAGATGGTGCTCTTGGCGTGCTTTGGGGCAACACCAAAGAGCACCATCTAGTGAGGTCAGAAAATACAGCAAGTAGCTCATGAAGCTACCTTTGGCCATCACTACTAATCAATACACTTTAGATTTTTATTTTTTTTTTATGACTGCATAATTGCGCAATGTTTCGGCCTGGCCGGAGGTGTTGTGACACCCACAGTACAGGCTGGATGCCTCTGAGTGCCATTCCACAGCCCAGCTTTAGGTTATTGCGTCTGTGGGTGACTCGCACTGTATTAAAAATGCACTGGTGTGGCTTCGCATGGTGACCCATAGAGTGCGGCGGAAGGCAGTCGCTCCCAGCGGTAAAATGATTAGGGAAGAGGTTAGCATCACCAAAATGAGAGAGGCTCTTCTCTGAAGGATGCTGTACTTCACCTTTGCAGGACTGAATAATTCACTACTAATTCACAAGTGTGTTTCATAAACTTTTTGTAGGCAGCACCCCAGGAATAAGTCACTGCTCCTCATTTTTCTATAATTGATGGTCTGTTTGACATGTATTTATTATAGCAGATGAGAGGCAAGAAAAAGAGAAACCAAACAGCAGCCAGAAAGTGAGGATTGTCTGGGAAAGAGAATTATTTCAATTTACATGCTGAGTTGCTTTACACCATTGATGCGAATGACTATCTCATGTAAATGGTGCTTTTCAGCATCTGGGATATATTACACAGTAAGCTAATATTCAGAACTTGTAGTCGACATGTTGAATGCAGAAGAAACGGACAGGGGTGAAGATCTGAGTGACTTTGACAAGAGCTAATTCATTATCATAAGATGACTGGGTCAGTGCATCTCCAAAAAGGCAAGCCTTGTGGGGATCTCATGGCCAGCTGTGGTGAGTACCTACTGAGACTGGTGCAAGGAGGAAAAACCCATGGACCGCTGACTGGGTGTTGGGGACCAAGATTTCATGTGAGTTGAGAATGAAGGCTATCCTGTCTGGTACAAACCAACAGAAGGGCTGATATGGAATAAATACCAGATCATTTTAATGACGATTACGGGAGTACTGTGTCACGACACAGTGCATCGAGCCTAAACATGCTCAACATGTACTCAACCATCCACATAGTGCAACAGAAATGGGATTCATAGTCCAGGTAACCTTCTTCTATTGCTCCTAGGTCCAGTTCCTATGCTCATGTGCCCATTGCAGGCACGTTTGACGGTAGGAAGGGTAAGGAAGGGCACTCTTACTGGCTTTTGGCTACGCAGTCCAATACGCAACAGTGCTCAATGCCTGTGTATCACGACACAGTACTCCCTTGACCATCATCAAAAATTATCTGCCATTACTATATATATAGAGAGAGAAACTCATGATAGAAACTAGAATCTCATCTTTAAAGACATACATGCTATCAAGGAGTTGACAAGGCATAAGTACAGCTAGGCTGAGATTCCAATGAATGGCCAGGGACAACAGTAAACAGCGTTGGATCAAAAGCTACACAGCATCTTCCAACTTAGCAGGAACCCAATAAGACTATTCAATGACCACCTGGGTGTCCTTTTTCCTCTTTTGCAGTCTATGGCCACAACATGAAGAGCAGCAATGACTTTGTGGGCCGCATCGTGATTGGCCAGTTTCCCACGGGCCCCCCCGAGGCCAACCACTGGCTGCGGCTACTCGGGTCACAGCGCACCCCTGTGGAGCAGTGGCACAGCCTGAGGTCCCGCGCCGAATGTGACCGGGTCTCGCTCGCCTCGCTCGGAGTGACGTGACAGCCTCTAGGCCCAGAGGGGGAAGCGGTGGCATGACGGAGACCACAAGATGCAAGAAGACAGGAAACGAGAGGTCTGGGCAGACGAGAGTTAACAACTGTTTGCATTCATGTCCACTTACCCAGAATTCATTTCTATCTTATCTACCCTGTCCATTTGAAAATGATAGGTGCCTTTACCCTCCTCTTCAGCATTATAAATCCCTTGAGGAGAATGCTCACCTAGAGTGATCTACAGGCTAGTAATGGCCATGTTGCCGTTTGTCCCACAATATTACAGACTCAAGGACACTATGTCCATCAGTATAACCATACAATCCTGTTTAGTTCTTCCATTGTCCTCTCATTTCCTGGGAAAGCCACATATGTCCATCAAGCCATAGCCTTCATACACATTATCAGTTATTGCGACAGCTATTTACAATTGAACCTACAATGCTGCTGATATCTGTACTACTTTCATTCATGTTTCTTAACCACATCTGTCTGTGCAATGTACGTAACTCACTCCGTGTGAGGTCTTTACTGATGACTGTGGTTTAATCTCGTATGCTGTTCAAGAAATGCAGGAACTGCACACGCAAATTTGACAGTCAACGTGAAACCTGACGCCTTTCTCTTTCAGAGGTGGTCTTTTCAGAGCCCTTGCCTGTGTTTGTACAACATATACAGTCCAGTGCTTAAATCCAGACATAGTTTTTTATAGCTGACCTTTGGTTCCTTAATTGCAAACCGTGTCTCGTACCATCGATTCCCGTTAAACACTGTCTGTTGAGAATATTGTGCGCTAATTGTCAGAGAAAATCTACATAATTGTACTCTGTGCAAATCTGATGTGTGTACAGGTGCTGATAGTGAGGAGCTGTGTTTCCTTTAGCCTAAAATGTTATTAAAAATGTGTATATAAATATAACAAAATAATAAATGTTTATATTTACAGTGGGAGAAGCAGCCAGAATTAGCTACAGCTGTTTGTTATCCACAATTCATGTTATACATTTCAGTGATGTGCAGTTGGGTCTGTAAAGCTGAACCACACAAATCAAACATATATCCAAACTGGAAAAAAGAATGCATACAACATAGCATGCAAAAATATGTTTGTCTGAACAGTTCATGTACTGGAAAGTCATGCTACTTAGCAAATCTGTACAAAAGCTGACAGCAGCCAATCAAGCAGTCAAAATAGGTGCAATTACAGTAAGCTACACATATGCAGAAATGTTTATTACTACCAAAAATGACCTTTTTTTCTATGTACAAGCATTACTTAGGAAAAAAAGGTAATTATTGGTAATAAGGATACGGTAGTAATAAATGTACAACATCACTTTAATTTTCAGAGTAAGCAGGCTTTATACAGTGTATCTGAGAAACTAAGCAGTAATACCCACATGCACTATTTATTAATGAAAAACATCTTATCACAGTTTAATGGAGGACAGTATCAGAGTGTACAAAAGTAGCAACACTCAACGCCATTACTCCTGCAATCATTTGGTTGTTCTGATAGTAGCAGCTGACTACTATATGAATACCATCTCATAAGATTTACCGTACCTAAAACAGATATACTTACAAGGGATATATTATCAAACAACATATATGTAGATTTCTTACTTGTCCAATGAAAATATTGAACAAATATATACTAATATTCTGTACAGAAGGAAAAAATGTGCTTATTTTTAGTGAAACTGTTTATGAGCCTGAAGATTCCCTGATATCTCAAACCTACAGTGGTTTGTCATTGACTAAAAGCAGTTGTGGGGATTTAAAGAGGCAATAGGCCTTGAGAACCGTCATGCACGAATGTAAGTATTGAGGGGAGGGATAGAAGGATTTAGCAGCAGGATCTTTATGAAGGGAAAGCTCACAGGCTGGCTGAAGAAGGCCTAGACTGCTTTTAAGTGGTCCATCCTTTTTCAGAAATTCCATGATGAATATCATGTATGTATTTGACCAAGCAAACTCTACGCTGTATTGTGACATCATTATGGTTGTTACTGTTGCAGTGGTATTTCTGTTTGTATGTACATGTTTTGTGTCTCTCAATATGACCCTGAAGGACTTCTCATTCAGTGTACCTTCATATTACTGTCCTTGGCAATAAACGGTCAATGTCTCTCTCATTCGCCGTATGCTGTATACCTACATTCTACAGTTTCTTGACAAACACCTAGCAGAAAAAAAACATTCTGAACGAGTAATGGTCATTATTAATATCGGTATTTTATTCACAGTGATTGCATAATTGACATTATGTAATATAATGAAAAAAAAAAACAATCATTTTGGTGACTTGATAGTGTCCTCATTGTAGCCGCTGCCATGGTAACACAATAAAGCGTTTTAATGCTCTGATGGGAGTACTGTTGGTTGCTGTATGTAAGGTGTGCCAGTATATCACCAAATTTAACTCAGCAATGTATCATGTCTTGGGCTATCTTTAGGGTGGGTGCCTTATTGTTATAATAATAACAATATTTAAAAAGTAAACAGTCTTTAGCAATAGTCTATGTTGAAAATGGCACTGGATATTCAGTGAGTCTGGATGTGACCCTTCAGAGTATTAAATGCTCAGTTGTTAGTCTGCTAACATCAGTATGATCCTTATCACACTTCCTGTCATCCTCACTACTCTCTGGGCAAAGTAAAGGATGTGATCTGTCGTGATCGTTAATGTGCCATGATCACGTGTTTCATTTATTTATTGACAATAAAGAATGTATGTATTGAAACAAGCCCATAGTTCTGCAGATTAACTCAGCTGTGCTCTAAGCATTCCTGCCGCTTTCACCTGCCTTTTGCCGATATAACGAAAAGCAAATGTTGCCAGGAAAAATGGCATGCAGCTTTGTCAAAGCATCACCCAGACTGAAATGACCTTTGTGTTCCTTTATTAGCAACAAGGTAAGTATCCAGGAGAAGCAGCCTGAGCTGCTAGCAGCTGCTTAAGCAGCTAACAGAGGAGGGCTGCCCATCCCAAGGGAGAGCCCAGGCCAGATGGATTTGCTGCTCTCACTTTCCTGTTTGTTCAGGATTAGAAGCTGCTCTCACTTTCCTGTTTGTTCGGGATTAGAAGCGGCTCTCACTTTCCTGTTTGTTTGGGATTAGAAGCTGCTCTCACTTTCCTGTTTGTTCGGGATTAGAAGCGGCTCTCACTTTCCTGTTTGTTTGGGATTAGAAGCTGCTCTCACTTTCTTGTTTGTCGGGGATTTAAAGTGGCTCTCACTTTCCTGTTTATTCAGGATTAGAAGCTGCTCTGACTTTCCTGTTTGTTCGGGATTAGAGGCGGGTCTTGGTCACCCGCATATTATTTTCCATAGATCTCTGAATAAGTTGCGGTTGAATTCCGGATTTAAAACACCGTTTTATCGAGACAGCCTGTCGTGTACACTTTTCCATTTGGCTTTTCATTCTTTAGTAAAAAGTAAAACTCCAAGATACCAATTCATACAACAAGCCTCCTGTGTGATTTTCATACATGACTTCCTCACTACACAAATCTGATATTAAATCTACAGGAGAAACGTGAGCCATATCATCATATCGCTTTCCCTCCCCTGCGCCTTGCTGTAGAGTGCTTTCACCCCTGCGATCTCTCGTCCGCCTGGCATAATGCCACAGCTGTCCAGCATTTACATCTCCGTTTCGAACTACAGCTGAGAAGCCAGCCTACATCACAGATGGTCAGTTCCAGAATGCAGACTCAAACACGGCACCTTAAACTCCCCAACCCCTCACGACAGCTTGCTATGAAGATGAAAAACTTAATACGCAAAATGATCTCTCCATCAGCTAAAAAAAACACTTATTTAATTGCCATACTAGCATTATACAGTATCATCCAAAGATTATAAGAGATACATGTTTAGCTTATATTGCACTAACTGGAATGTAGATGAATTAGAAATTAAGAATTTACAGTCATAAAATTACAGTTTCATGATAGCAAATAACCATAAAAATATTGCTATACTTTTAACTAGTACTAATTAAAGGTAAATGCTATCATTGAGCAAAGCCTGTTGTATATGTCAGTGTGTGTACTAGTAAGATCTGAATGCGCTCTGTGACTAAACATTTTACAAGAGTAATGAAAACGACTTTGCCAGGGTGGAAAGTGCAGCTGATGAAGAGAAGCTACCCCGCTCACGTTTATGAGGAGCACTGACGTGGAGGGAGTGCCGGGCAGCAGCATGGCCTGGCAGCAGAAGTCTGAGCCCGGTGTGGTGTGAGGCCCCGCGGGGTGGTGAAGACAGTGAGTCAGAGAGGAATAACTGGCCTGGTCTGTTGTGGAGTATGTGCATTTATTTGGAATTCATGGCGGTAATGATACTCTCATGCTTGTCGTCCATCTGACCTGCGCAGGGGCTGAATGCCACTGAAAACTCACTTTGTATGTAGGTCTTTGATCGCTTTCGATCGCTGATGTCTCGAGCCAATGGGAAGCTGTAGCTGCTCGATACAGCTCTGTGTCACACTGAGCCATCTGCAAGACACACACATGATAAAAATGATACCAATTCCCTGGTGTCCCAGGGTAAATTTATGCTTCCGACGAAGGGTTAACTCTCCAAAAGATGATGATCCATCCTTCCTGGTCATCAGCTGTCACCTGTCACATCAGCTCCCTTAGTCACCGTGAGCGGCCCTCTTCACCGCACCATTGATTAATGGAGGTAGCCGTTGCTTGGTAACTGGGTGATGTCACAGTACCACTAGTGTACTCTGGGGGAAAAGAAATGAAGCAGGCAGGCAAGCAGACAGCAGGAGAACACATCACATGACATAGACGTAAGTCACATCCACTGCGCCTATGTCACTATGTGTAATAAGTATTTTTGGAAGGTGTTTGCTTTTGTTAACAGTTACTGTTATTACTTTTGCAGAAAAAATTTGCTAATGTGTTACATGTACTTTCAGTGTTAGACACATACACGTGCTTTGCAGCCACCAATGAATCAAATCCCATTGAGGTCGGCACCCAAATGAAGTGAAAACATCAGACAAATATACTGTGATACTCTGTGTCCAGCTAGTAAGGAAATTACTGAGTGCTTAGTTTCTAACCCTAATGTGTTCTCTTTATAAAACTACTTCAGTTACATTTCAGAAGGACTTTGGCTCTCAAAGGCACAGACTGTTCACCGCTAGGTTAAACAAAGACAAAATCTGAGAAATACTTGAAAGAATAAAATGAACTGGCAAATTTTTTACCTTAATCTATGAGAAACATGATTCATGCATTATATTTAAATATGCACTAATGCGATTGCATTGTTTAATTAGGTCTGTGATCAATGGTGTGGAGAGCCAGTGTTTTGTATAGCTTTTAATAAATATTTAAAATGCCTTGGGACATACTATGTAATTACAGTTCAGTGGGGAAACATCACGTCCGAATAGAAGCTCACACCCCCCCTCCCCCTCTCCAGTTGATAATATATTGATTTTCATTTGAATTGAACATGATGACTAAGCGCATAAACAAAGATCTAACCAATAAAATATAGACTTAAGAAAATAGTTTATTATTCATAGTTAATATGAATTTGTCCTGTGACAAAGGAAGGACATTTCTATTACACGAGTGAAGAAGAAAAATCAAGGTCCCAAAGGAATAGTGAAGGACATACACACACACACACACACACACACACACACACACACACACACACACACACACACACTAGAGCAGCGTGCACATGCCAGTTATAATTACACTCTCTAGAACACAGGTGTCAGACTCCAGTCCTGGGGGGCCGGAGCCCTGCACATTTTTGGGTTTCCCCTCGTTTAACACACCTGATTCAACTCCTTGTGCTAATTGCCACACAGCTCTTGAGCTGAATCATTTGTGGTGGAACAGGGAAAGAACTAAGCTACACAGGGCTCCGGCCCCCCAGGACTGCAGTTTGACACCCCTGCTCTAGAGACTTCGCTTTTCTCTGCTTGTGCATTAATGCCATCTGCTGGTAGCATAATAGAACTGCAAAAGTTGTTGTAAATACTTTGATACACTGTGTAGGCACACATTTTTATTGATCTAAATGTAACTTCCAGGGTGGCACGGTAATTAGTACTGTGGCCACCCTGGGGGTCGAATCCCAATTCCGCTCTCTATGTGTGGAGTTGAGTCCCCTCCAGGGGTCCAGAGACATACAGTCAAGCTATTCGGCATCTCTACATTGTTTTTCCCCTGAGATAGACTCTAATACGATCCAGAGTGCACCACATCTTTGTGTCAAAATGGAACAATTTTGTGGAATTACGATATGACATGCTATGTATGTGACAGGCAGTGTCCCTTTGTATCATCCCATCAAACGCCATTTCCGCTATGTTTGCTCTTTTTGGTTGTCACATTTTCGCTCCAGTTGCTAAGCCAGTTGCTTCCTGTAATCCAATACTAATGAAGTTTCTAAAGCATTTCTGTGCTGTACTACGCTTAAGCGTTACAATATGGTCTTTACAGCCCAGATGAGTCACGTACTCTTTTCAGGGCAGCTCTGAGAATACTTTAATAAACATCTGAAGCATATAACTAATTAGCCACATAATTTCTGCCGTTTCGTAATATTACTTTGCCAGGGCTTGATTACTGTAATTCATTATTTGTTTGCGTAACACTTCACTTTTAGACCCACTTGAATTTCACCAATAAAATTTACCTCCTCTATTTGTAATCAATTTATAAATCTTCGTGTCTTAATACCCAATGCAGGGTCGTGGTGAGCTTGCAGCCTATCATAGGAAGCGCAAGGCATGAGACAGGGGACTCAAAAAAGCATTATGTGTTCATTATAATTAATTGAAAAACCATTAACAGTAGGTATAGCCATGTTATCGCACACTTCCTGGACTCTGGGCTAAATCTGGCCCTAGATAGACCTTTCTGGTCCATACAAGGGAAAAATCAATAAAAAAAATAAAAATAATAATATATATATATATATATATATTAAAGTTTTGTATTTTCTTTAATCACTTAGGGAAAACTTATAGAGCTGGGCAGGGGTTAAAGTTGTCATAGCTGGAATTAGGGGTTTGATGGTCCCCACAAAGACATGTATATAGACATGCGTGTGTGGCAGGGTGTGGGGGTATGTATACTAAATTTATTTGCAGAGTCCTCCGAAGGTTTCAAATGTGTTTCATTTTCATTGTTACTTGAGTGTGTTACTGCAGAGGCTTTAATGGAAATTACAGCATACTTAGGAAAACCTTGCCATTTGATTGAATTATTATTCCAAGGCATCCTACAATTAATTATTGAAATTATTAAGCAGATGATTAATTATAATATTTAGATAAAATAATCTGTTACTTTAGGGAATATTCGCTCAGTACAAAATGAACGTTCGTAATGTTTAAGTTGGAAATACAACTACAAGTCCCATAATACCTCAGAGCAGACTGGCCGACTAGTGGATAACACGGAGTAAACTGCCTGCGGTGCGCCGGAATCCGCATTGCCGAAGCTGAGGTCAGATACAGACGCTGGCCGGAGACATCGCACCATGGCAGACGGCGACAACAAGAGCACAAATCTCCTGGTATGTGTCCCGCTAGCATGGTGCCGGCGCCTAGCATTTTTGGTCTGCTGATTTTACTATTAGATAAAAATACGGAAAATTGCGAAGAGCCTGTCAGCATTTTAATATAACCCGTTAGCTGCAAGTCAGGTGTTTTATTTCACACTTACATCCATATTCAACAAATTATATTAAAATCATTGTGGATTATGTGATAGGCTGAGGCCGAGGTACGGCCGGGATGGAACTCAGCGGATCGGTTCATGATGGTGTCTCTTCCGCTGTTTGGCGTTGGCCGCAATACGTCCAAATCACCATTTAGTGTTTGGTTTAGTACATGTTCGATGGACACAAATTCTAAACCTCACGCCGTCACTGCAGTATCTGCACGATGGGAGACAGGAGACTGGCGGTCTGATAAACAGCCAAGTCTGACCTTCTAGCTCCCTAAACGCCTCGAACTAGGACTAGTGATATATTTTAACACGTATGACAGGACAAAGCTTTACTCTAAACTCAGAATTATTAAAAATTAGACAGCAGTGGTTTCTCTTTTTGTGCCTTTAATACTAGTCTTTCAGCTGTAACCTATTTCTCATCAGAAATCCAGGTCTGGCCTTGGTGATGGTGGTGTGGGGGTGGGGGTGGTGTTAGTTCGTTTTATGTTTCTAGCTCACACATAATTTATAACATTTGCTATCGGATACAGTCATGGGAGTGCAGTGTGTTTTTATGTGATGGTACAGGTACGAAGTTTAATTAAGTTGCCCCCTATGCTGATACACATCCCGTATATCTGACCCAAGGCGCAGGAGATTTCCCAACTGGAGGAGCAGCTTCAGGGGTGGGGCGAGGTGATCCTGGCTGCTGACCACGTCCTGCGCTGGCAGAAATCCTGGTTTCCCGGCGCCCTTATTGGAGTCACCACCGTGCTGTTCACGTGCGTACAGGGGATTGCCGTCGGACACGTGTCCGTCTCCTGCAATTGGCTCGCTAGTGTCTCCCGCACTCTGCGTAAGGGCGATCAGACCCTGTGGGTTTCTGTAGGAGGAGCTTTGCTATGTAGATACCTGTCCCTTTAAAAAGGGGGTGCAGTGAATTCTATGCTATACAGTACAAAATTTATTGTAGTGTCCTCCGAAAGTTTAAAATGTGTAGCATTTTCATTCTTAGATACACCTGCTGTTATGTCAAGCCAAGTCCTTGTTTTGTGAAATATAAGTGTCCTACCTTCTCTGGTCTCTAGCCTAGTTTGTTATTCACAGTGGCGGTCTGATAGTGAAATTCTCGTGGGTGGTTTCTGCAGAGGTTTTGGCCTCAATATAGCTGTGTGCTGATAGGAAGGATGTGAGAATGCTGGCATCCTCTTTGTATGTTTGTCAGATACAAAGTGAACATCAGATTTGGATGTTTGGAGTTGGCCATGGTTACTTGATAGATGTTAATTTGATCAAATCTGAGCTGTAGAATGGTGTCATTACTCCCTGCACTGGTGACGGTTATTAATATCTACCTTCCCTTTAGACAGTGTCCAGTCCTTGCTGACCACATCTCTCCTCTGGCAGGCTGATCTATTACCTGGACCCTTCAGTCTTGACCGGAGTCTCCTGTAGTGTGATGCTCCTGTGTCTGGCTGATTACCTTGTTCCAACCCTGGCCCCAAAGATCTTTGGCTCCAGCAAATGGTAAGTTCTGCTGAGGATACTGTACATCAAAAATTGGCTGTTCACACATGGTAAGCACAGCTAAGGCAGTCTGGTGATTTTACCAAAAAATGACTTAAGCTACACTTGAACTATTGAAGCCGTTTTGTCTAAGCCGCGTTGTTAAGTACAGCATGTCCTGCTGTGGGTCTTGGATGCACTTTTGTTCCAGGGAAGTGACTCATTGATGCTCTTGGCATTATTGATGGTTGTTGCTGATGTGAGATTATTCATGTTACTGTTAAATATAGACATTTTACTTATTAGCATAGCCTTGACCTATTATGACGTCCTGGTTAATGATTGCTGGCCTACTTGGAGCCTATAATCTGAACTGATCTCAGTAGACTGGTGCAGAGTCTTGAGACCATCCATGTTATAGACCCCTTCTTTAGCTGGGAGTCATTCATCTTCTGTCATCCCCGTTCATTATTTACAGGTTGCATGTATGAATCCATGGCTTATTACACACGGAGATTGAAGGTGATTAATTGTGGACCACAGGGGTTTCTTCGTTATTCTTAAAGCTTTAAGTTCAGAGCTTCTTCACGCGAATTAAATTTAATTGACTTCTGAGAGCCATTGTGATGCTACACAGAGGACTGTAATTATTTAGTTCAGTGCTGTTGGTGTCACAACATGACACCATCAAGAAAATGTTCATCCAACCGTTTGTAAAGTGCAGTGTAATTAAGGCTTTTGTGTCAGGGTTCACCTCTTACATTCGTGTTATGTTTTTCCAAAGGATGAAAAGAACTTTGCATCCTTCTGCTTGAACATTGCTCATTAATTGTTTAAAAAATAATGAGGCTAACGGTGCAGCGGCCCGTTGCATTTATTGCTCTTTTTGTGTTAATTTGAAATCGTGACGTCAGTCGCTCTGATTTTGGGTGTCTCTCCCTTCCGGCCTTTTCTACAGGACCACCGAACAACAGCAGCGCTTCCATGAGATCTGTGGGAACCTGGTGAAGCTCCAGAGGCGTCTGTTGGGCTGGTGGAGGCGCATTTTTGCCCTCAAGGAGGAGAAACCAAAAATGGTGAACAGGGAATGAACATGGGAGAGCCACATGCTGTACTGGTGATGCTGGTGCATTGCTTTGTAAATTGTAATTATTATTAGCTGTAAATGCCTCGACCATACAGGTAAATGCAACCGCACAGAGGCAGCTGCTGAGATATGCTTTGAAGACTTCAGACGAGTCTTTAAAAAGCTTAAATCGGTCATTTCTGCTTTACTTGTCATTTCACTGCTTTGGGGCAGTGGTGGCCTCTAATGGTTAGAGAAGTGTGGTAGCGATCAAAATGTTGCTGTCTGAATCTCTAACTGGCAAGGTATTGCCCCCCATGCCCCCCTCCCCAGTTCTAAATAGTATCTGCCTGCTACTATGTCACGATATCAGAGGACACATTTTGTTGTTTTGTGCTGTGGTGTGTCGACAATTAATCACTTTCAATTTATTAAAGTTGTGCTACGATCAAGTAATTTAGCATTGTGCTCCTACTGGTACTAACTCAACTTCATTTTTAGAAAATGAGTCACTGTTCAAGATTTTGTAAGGAACTCTGCCAAAGGTTACATTTAGCTCTTGTTCAGTTAACCTTAACCCTACCTAGCTGTGTAGGGAACTGAAAGAAGGGCTTAATCCTAATCTTATCCAACTTTGAAGCTGAGTTTTCCTGATTCCTGTGCAGTACTTCCTGTCTGTGATCTCCTGTCTGGTAGTGATGGCCTGGATTGGGCAGCAGGTCCACAACCTATTCCTGACCTACCTGATCGGTAAGCACAACGATAGACCTACTAGTTCATATACTAGTTCATATACTGAAACAAAGCAGTTGTCCATGTGATGCAGCCTCAGGCAATTTCCCAACATCATTGAGTTGCTCTCAACCTAAGCATTTGTCCTATGATGTGGCTTATTTGGAAATAGGTCTGTTATAATAGGTTTGTTATTTATTTGATGACGTCTGCAGTCTTTACTAACAAAGCTACCAAGAGTAGAAGTCAATGGAAGATAACAGAAAATGTATTCCTTCATTATATATTTATTAATAAGGAATGTAAAGTTCATTTTTACAGTTGTGTTCCAGCTTTGCTTACTCATGGATTTGGGCAAGTGTGACAGTCATTGAACACACCTCCCCTGCTAGTGTGAAAATAGGCCATCAGATCTAGGACAACCAAGGAGGCCAATGTTTCACTTATCTTCAGCTCCTGGTGCCTAATCACCTTACCTCACCGATAGGAGCTTAAACCTGGGACGGTTTCCAAGCTGGAGTTGCTTTTTGACCTCGACTCTTCCTCTGGTTCACAGTGACTGTGCTGCTCCTCCTCCCCGGCCTGAACCAGCACGGCATCCTCGCCAAGTACACCGGCATGGCCAAGAGGGAGATCAACAAGCTGCTCAAGCATAAGGAGAAGAAAAATGAGTGAAACAGACACGCAGGAGACGTTTGTTTGCTTGGCATTGGGACTTGAGATCCATGCCACCCCCCACCTTACCCCTCTCCTACAGTGCGCTCCTAGAATACTCACAGATCCTGTAGGAATTCTGTAGGCAAAATTGATAGAGCGAAGCAAATGTTACCTGTTATGTGCTCTATTACGGAAGATAACCACAAGTAGTCGTTCACCACACACACTTCATGAGTCCCACCTTAAACATCTGCTTTTTCAGACTCTGGCCTATTTGCTTTCACTAGTGACTAGCTAAAATACTGAAGTTCAGGTCAGAAGGGAAAGCCAGTTTACAGCTAAGAGTATTTTTAATCTTGTTCATTTTCAATGCTATGCTGAGGTTATACTATAAAATAAGCAGTATGTGTCACAGTGAATGTCAATTAGTGAAACATACGGATGAATTATGATGAATTATTTGTGACACGAAACTGGATAATTATATTCCGAGACGTTGTGGTCAGTATACTCTGTACTATCAGGATCATAGCTATACGTGTAATGCATATGTAAGCTTATGGCTTTAAGTGTACCATAAGTGTACCACTTTTTCATAAGCCTTTATGAGAAAAGTGTGATTCAGAAGAAGCTCCTTGAGGAGACTGTGTGCCAGACTGTGCTGAAATCTGCTGTACTGAAAGAACACTGGATTTTTTTTGAATATCTGGCCTACTGAATCAGAAACCCCGGCTGATTATGATTTTACCAGTGGGCTTCAGTGACTTCTGTAAATATCCGACCTCTGCTTTTTATTTTGGCCTTTATTTGATGTTTATCATTTAAAACCTTCATTTATTCATTTTCATCTTTTTTTTTCCCAATGGTAATAAAGATACACATTACACTTGTGTCTGTGCTTAAAATCTGAGCTCAACTGAATTAACCGACTTTGCATCTTAGATTTTATAAAATGCATAAAACGCTACAGGTATTTTTGTTGAAGAATGATGTTTCTAGAGGCTTTATCTCAAAAGCCTTCCATGTATCCATACATGCGAGGTGGGGGTGAAGCACAAGGCAGGAAGTACTGTCATGGCCAAAAGTTTTGGCAGTGACACAAATCTTGTGTTTCATAAACTTTGCTGCTTCAGCATTTTTCGATAACTTTTTTTTTTTTACATGTTTCTATGGTATACTGAAGAACAATTACAAACATTTTATGTGTTTCAAAGGCTTTTATGGGCAAATACATCAATTTTGAGCCCTCTGTCATGCCAACAGTGAAGCATCCTGAGACTCATCCAAGGGAGTGGGCTCGCTCACAGTTCTGCCCAAAAACATTGCCATGAATAAAGGATGGTTTCGAAATGTTCCCCCAGAGCAACTTCTCCCAACAATCCAGGCACAATTTGGTGTTGGTCTGTGTATTTCCCAGTATGACGGAGCACCATGTCACACGGCAAAAGTGATACCGAAGTGGCACAGAGTTCATAACATTGAAATTTTGGATCCGTGGCCAAGAAACTCCCCAGATCTTAATCCCATTGAGAAGCTGTGTTCACTCCTCAAAAAGCGGGTGGACAAGCAGAAACCCACAAATTGTATCAACTCCGATCTCTAACAAGGCAGGAATGGATCACCGTCAGTCAGGATTTGGCCCAAAAGCTGATATCCAGCATGCCAGAGTGAATTGCAGAAGTTACGAAGAAGGGTTAACACTGTGGATATTGACTCTGCATCAAATTGATGTATTTGCCAATAAACGCCTTTGAAGCTTATGAAATGTTTATACGAGTAATTGTCCTTCGGTATACCATAGAAACCTGTTAAAAAAAAAAATCTAAAAGTGCTGAAGCAGCAAAGTTTGCGGAACACAAAATTTGTGTCCCTGCCAAAACTTTTGGCTACGACTATATGCTTGCTCATGATAGGACACATGTAAACATATGCAATTTAGAGAAACCAGCCTATATTTCTGGACTGTGGGAGAAAGCACCTGACCATCTGGAAGACATGCAAACCACACACACAGAATCCGAACCCACAAACAGCTATGTGAGGTCACTGCCACCCGCTAAGCTGCTATCTACAGGAACTCCCTGGTGATTTAAAAGAATCCAGTGGATGGTGTCTTCAACTTGTATTATTCTCTTTCATAATAGCTACTTATCTCAGTCTTTTGAGATGGCCATAGTCAAGGATCACTTATACTTAACAGAAACTCTATCCATCTAAATGAGAAACACAAAACTGCACCCTCTTCTGCATTGTAGAAGAAAAGGTGGGTTCATTGTCTAGAGCTTTATTTGATATTGAGTAATATCTGCTGTGGACATCTCGCCGAACGAAGCCTCAATATGATGGGCTTCATCTAGAATACTCACTGGTGTCTTTTCCCCTCGAAACAATATTGCAGATGCAATTAATTACTCTGAGATTGGCAGCATTACAGCATGACAATTACAATGGCAGACTGAAGCACAGCGTGAGGGAAGGAACTTAAATACACAGACATCCAGGGAAAAACAAAGAACAGGTGTCATTTAATCAATGAACCAATCAAGGGAGACACAGCAGCAAAGAGAAGACAGGTGGACACAATAACCCTAAGAACACACAGAACTAAGAGAAGAAACAAACACTAAAGACTAAGGATCTACAGCAAGCACTAGGGGAAACACCACCAGGAAATACTAGAAGCAAGAACACACAGAACCAATCACAATAAACCAGGGGAAACGCAAGAAAACACAGATTAAACACTAGAGAACAAAAATGGAGAAAACAAAACAGATGAGACTGGTCTCAAGCCAGCCTCAAACCCATAATATGAAGGAACAGTATATGAGCTGTACATGCAACCCACTGACCTATGCAGCAGGCTGGGGAACAGGGAAAACACACTAGGGGCTAGGTACACTGGGGCTGAGGGCCAAGAAACGGAAGAGGACATAATGGCCAGCGACACCTGCTGGCCCAAGTGGGAAGAGACACAAAAGGTAGGGTAAGCTGGGTGCTGATCCTGACATATATGTCCCCGTTCTGAAACAGTGGTAGTTTAAAGTAATTAATGCATACTTGGTTGGTGTTTATTTTACTAGACAAATGTTTATTAATTGATTTAATATTTGTAATTGTTAATGTGAGCTGTTTTCCGCATCGCGTATGATATTCTCAGTAGTACGTAAATTTACAGCATTAACAGCACAATTTGTTGCGACTCAATCATGCTTTGGTAATTGGTTTTAATATGAACAAATTGTAAAGTGATTACTGATATCTTACTGTTTTTTCCTCTTTTTTTGAAGTAATGAACATAATAAACAATGATCATATTTTACAGCAGCATAGAACCATCTTCCAGCTGCGCGCACCGAAGCGGCACACCCTGACCACGCCCCTACGCTCAGCGCGGACCTGTTCTCGCGACATCACGTTTTTCCCACGTAGTTTGATCGCGAGCACTTTTCTCTTTTCCTTCCGCCATACTGCATTGCTGGTAAGGCGGATAAGTGCGTTTTGTGATAATCCACTTAATATCGAAGCCATCTTTGCCTTTACCAAACAGTCTGTTGGGAAAGTCAGAAATGAACAAGCACATTATTTTGACAGTCGTTTTTTAACAGAACCCGATGAGTATTTCATTTGTTTTAATCTCAGCTTGGAGGTCACTCCCTGCTTTAGTTTTTCGTATCTATTCAAAGTAATAAGTCCAGTCATCAGAGCGAATGCACTCCTCTTAAAAAGCAGTCGGTTAATATCCAAGGTTTTCGCGCTGGTTGTGGCCGAAGCAGATAATACTCTGTATTTCGGTCATTTGTCTATTAAGGTAACCTGACTGAGAACATCTGTAGAGCATAGAAACATGAATAGGTGATTACATGCGGAGTGTTTAGCAAGTTGCGAATATTTGCGATGTTTCCCATGAGAAACAGTTGCTTTGTTAAATGTCAATCAGGTGTTATTAAAAAACATTGTCTTTACAGACTGTTCAAGGGGTAGGCGGTGCACTTACATTTAATGACCTGTTTATGCTTCTGTGCTTTTTGAACCAGTGTTTTGTTGCAGGATGTTGGGCTCCATGCAGGGTTGCCAACTCTGCTGCATCTGGTGTGACACTCACACTTTCAGACTGTCACCTAAATTACCTACATCAAATTCAATGGGGTAGTTTGCAGACCCTACAGACTATTTATAAGGTAATATATCTGTTACATATGTGAAATGGCGTGTGCATATATGTCCAGATTTGTCTCGATTTGAAAATCTCACGCCAGCCAGCTGGCCAAGGTTGGCAACCCTGTCCACGTCTCTGGATAATAGTTTGATGGTTGGATGTGTATGTATGTGGCTTAAATATGAAATGGAAGCTCAAATGCACTGACTGTCAGTTGGCTTTTCTCTGTTGAGCCTCCGGGCACCATGGTGCGCATGAATGTCCTTGCAGATGCCCTGAAGAGCATCAACAATGCAGAGAAACGGGGCAAGCGGCAGGTTCTGATCCGGCCCTGCTCCAAGGTCATCGTGCGCTTCCTCACCGTCATGATGAAGCATGGTGAGTCGGGCCCCCTCCGTCACCCCTGGAAGTGTGACTGATGGACCTTCCCAGCCCCCCTGGGGTCGTTACATGTGTTACAATCAAGGGTGGGGGCCAGTGCTACATCCCACCAGCAGCCAGTCAGGGTACAGATGGTCACATTTAGTTACAGAGCCACGCAGAGTGTGCAGGGGCTGATGGAACAGGGTGTCTGTCGTTACAGGATCATGTACTTTGCTGTGATGGAGGTGTGCACTTTTTGGGGTGGAGGCTAGGGACTGTGTTTTGTTGCTGTCTTGGTTTGAGGTATCCTCATCATCCTGTTCTCATCTCCTCTGCAGGCTACATTGGCGAGTTTGAGATTATTGATGACCACAGGGCTGGAAAGATAGTTGTTAATCTCACTGGCAGATTGAACAAGGTGAGTTTTCGATCTGTTCCTTGGCTTTTGTGTAAGCTGCCTTTCCCACTGACCTCCCCCCCCCCCCCTGCCTGTCTGGCAGTGTGGTGTTATCAGCCCCCGGTTCGACCTGCAACTGAAGGACTTGGAGAAGTGGCAGAACAATCTCTTGCCTTCCCGGCAATTTGGGTGAGTGATGGTCTTTCCATTTCGATGTCAGTTGCCCGGGTGTCCTCCTGATCGCTCAATAACATCACTTGGGTTTGGTCAAGTCTAGTGGTCCTGCTGTAGCTGTGGCAGTCGAACCCACATGATGCAATAAACTCACAAACATAAACTCACATCTCCTTGGCAGAGTCAGGCTGCGCTTATTAATGTAGGTGTTGGTCATACATAGTACTTAAGTTAAAGGGACCAGAAGGTTCCGCATCAAGTCTCATTGGGCACCTAGGAAACACTGTGGTTTCTTCAGGAACTGGTTGAATGTTCTAAATGGGCGTTAGAGTGGCCTTTTAATGTTTTGCTTAAGGAGCCGATTTCTGGAAGTTTGAGTAATAGTTTGGGGGTAGCGGCACATTTTTACGTCTCACATCTCAATGCACAAGAAAGACATGCATCGAAACTCTTCTCTGTTTTGACACATATGTGGTGGATTGAACTTCCACTAGATGTCTGAACAGCTGAGTCAATGGGTGCCTTCAAACGCAGACTAAAAACTTACCTCTTTCGGAAGTACTTGGATTAGCACTTCCAGGGTTATACCCATTATTATAAAAAAATGTATTACCCGCCAACAAAGTTTTTAAAGTGATAGTATTCTTAGCCAGGTTCTATTGAACCAGTATCAGAATATATTCACTGATGAATATCTTTAAGCATTTATGCAAGGCACTCTGGCTATGGACATCTGCAGTAAATGTACATTAGCACAATTAGCTTAAAAACTATTGCTTTTAAGTAAATGGGTTACACAGCAACGTGACCTTAGTTTTTTTATATATATAAATATACACACATGCACACATATATATGTCTGTGTGTGTGTGTGTGTGTGTGTGTGTGTGTGTGTGTATATATATATATCAGATGTTGTACATTTGTTCACTACTTAGATATTTTGCGGTCATGTTTACGCAGTATAATGAAATTTTTGCTCCTATGGTCATAGTAACCGATAAATAAAGCACAATAAAATTTACAAAAAAAAAAACTACAAATAACTGAACAGTCAGTCTGGCACAAAATGACAGCACCATAGACAGACAGTCACTTCGCCATTAGGTGTGCTGGAGGTGCGTTCTGGGGAATGTGGTTTGTATTCACTATCCTATCTGCGCATGGATAAACACCGTGATCCCACTGCCTCTCACCCTGTCCTGTGACTCCGCAGACGAGCTCTGCACTGCTCATTTTCTTGTCACTTCAGCAACTTGACCCGTAACTATTAACAAAAAGATGCTTGTTTTCTAAAGATCAGACCATTAGCCGGCTACTCCATGTAATATTACCTCGGTAGCAGGCCCTGTTTCACGGAGCGTGTCAGTGACTCTTTTGGATCAAGCATTCCCGTGTAAATCTGAATGATTAACCATGAAAATCAGACGTGTAAATGAAGCGCTGCCTTTGGAGGGCAGCGACTAAATGAATCAAATTTATTTAATCCCTGAAGGTGATTTACCCCGGTAATTTGAAGTTATGGGCTTTCCTGTCACTGAGTAATGAATGTGAACATGTTTGTGTGATAGTTACTGGTACTGATAATATGTTTATTGATCAGAGCAGCGAGTCCTAGGTCAGAATTGGAGAATCCATGAAAGGTGATTATGTGGGACTCATTTAATAGCTCTCACATGCTCAACAGCCACGAGCAACAAGCGGCTACCTGTCTGCCATGAGAGGAACAGGGGCAGCATGTTGGCATCCAGATAGAGAGTTCACCTCTGTTTAAAAGTTGGAGGCAAGGTGGAGGTGTTGGTGTGGCCAACTGGTT